AGCCTTGCTGCCATTGCAGCAGCTGCAAGTGCAGCAAAGAGAGTTGAGAGTTGAGTATGAGAGGGTGTAATCCTCCTCCTCCATGTATTTGTTTTGTATTCTTTCTCTATCTCTAAATATATTGACTTTTCCCGTGGATGTAGGCGGTTTTGCCGAACCACGTTAAATACCATGTCTTAGTGTGCTTGGCCCTCCTATGAGCAAGTATCAGAACATCACCGGTCGGAATTCCCAACACTATTAGTATCGCTATGCACAATTTACGTATGATCATTTATTAGATTTTTAGTAATTTTCCTAGAATAAATACAAACACCAGGAACTTCAACAAAGAAGGAATAATTAATGGGTGCTATAGATGTAGAGGGGGTTATTTTTGGACTCTAAGAGATTCAATAGCATCATAATCTATTGTTATCAAAGCATTAGTTGGCATTCTCGACCAATTAACACAACATCAGGAAGTAAAACCCTCCAATTCTACTCTTCAACACATGTTTCCTTCGAATAGGAGAAATGGATATCAAAAAAGAAAAAACATTTTCAATTTAAAAAACGTGATATTTATAGTTATACAAAATCACAAGTAGGGCCATGATGGCACTTGTATCCTTTTTTATACAACATATACCCAACAACACGTAAATCAAGCTTTGTGCGCAGGTATTTATAAAGGTGAATAAATGCAACACTCTTGAAAACTTTCAATATTAATGTTAAGCTGGAAGGAATATTAACATAAACACAGAGTTTTTTCTAAGATGTTTTGAATATAAGAGAACTGCTAGGTACATGTTTCATAAGATAAATAACATGCAAGATAACATTTTCTAAAAAAGTAGATTGTGTATAGACAACAATTAGACATTCATGTGTAACTCAAGCATATAATTATTATTTTTCTTTTTGCTACATTATTTTATTGGGGTATAAAACGTGTTGTCTTACAAATAATACCATGATCTTGGAAATAAAGTTGTAACCATGATGTTTTGGTATAAATTAGAGTAAGATTCCACTTATCAGAATGAATCAAACTTCAATCAAACTAAATGATACTATCATCTCATTGGAATTCAAGGAATAAGCAGTACAATGAATTTATACCAAAACACAAACATTATAATGAAAATAAGGATGCGAAAATTTTTTGTTTGTTAGGATGTGAAAATGAGGATATTAGAATATGAAAAATAAGGATATCCTTTAGTATTAATGATTTGAATGCTCGTAAATCACGCATACGGATTTTACGTTCCAAAGAGCATTTTTTGTCTCGCTGCTATAATTTTTGTTTCTACAAGTTTCGAGCCAGCTAGGTGCTAGCCCGAAACGACCAAAAGAAGCACCAGTGGTACTTATCCGGGGTGGTGCAATTTTTCAGTTGCCTCTTTCTAAGAGTTGCGAAATGTGACTTTGGAGTTTCAGCAGTGTCCCTCTACTGTAATGTTAGCACATAACATAAAAAATCATGCAAAAACATGATTTTACCCGGAAATTTTCAAATCTCGATTCATGCGTTTCTGCCTACGATGATGCCACTGACTTGTAACGATCCACTTGGTGGACCTCTCCAAGTAACCACTCCAATTGTAAAATTTATGATTATATCAGGCAGCCCAGAGAACTACTTAGCCACCGGCTTCTGTACAGGTCATGGGGGGCGCCTCGACTTAGGACTTAGGAGCCGGGGCTTCCTTTTTCCTGAGACATCTGCACGTGCAAATCACCAACATGTTACCGCACTGGGTTTGACAATCACTAATTAATTAGCTGGCACAGGATCTCCGGCAAGCAATTCTAGTTTAGAATTTACTCGGAGACAGGAATCTGACATCAACCTTCTTAATCAAATTAACATCTGCGACTGTCTCTCGATTCCAAGGTGTCCAAAACGTCGATTGCCTCCTCTATAACAGGCATTAACTTATTTCTTTTTTCTTCTGAAGTACCAACACCTTAGTGATAATATAATAGCAGATCGGTTGGTTTTTAATGAATTATGAACTCCTCATCACCATGTCTGGAGTTCTCAAAGCACTCACCATGAGTATAGATTTCCAAGTTCCCATATGACATCAATGGTTATTGAGTCAATAATTATGTACAAAAATCACAATGACACTGATCACCTGCGGACAAGGACGAAGCCTTGAAAGCCAGATCAATTATTAACTCTTATATAAAAATTTATCAAATTAACAATAAAATATATAAAATTAAAAAAAAAAAATTACACTACCAATATTGCACCCTTCAATATTTTATGAAATATAATTTATTTATAATCGAATCCAAATCAATATTTTCAACAAGTTCTCTTTCAATGTAAATCATTATAGAATCTGTTAAAAACTCATCTTCAATTTTATTGCACAGAAGAATCTGTTAAAAACTCATCTTCATTTTTATTGCAAAGATAGTTTTAACACGTTTCATAGCTGAAAATGTCCGCTTTATGGTAGTCAACAAAGTAATACTTTAATAGTTAATACAAAATCCATTGCATTTAATATATCAAGAGATTTTTGCTACAAAACTCGACAAAGTAAATTAATAATCATCATTATTTTATGTATTAAATATAAAATAAATATAAATTTAAAAGATTTCATCACAATCAAATAACCACTAATTTCTCCTCGTATAGAGTTAGAAAATCCTTTTCGACCTATATTTTGAAGCATAACAATAGTTGCACTATATATATCTATTAAACTACAAATATAATCAAAATAAAAACTTTACTGGGTAGTTCTATTTCGATATAAATTACCGATTTGATTAATTTTTTCACCAGTCTCGTGTTTTACGGTAGTTAAAACCCCCCATTTTCAAACATGTAAATCTGATTATATCACGATGAATTAGTTATTTGTGTTTAGAATTTATGTGGTTTTTAATAAAGAGTTAAGAGATTTTTTTCATTGAGTTTTAGATTATTGGAAAGTTTATGTGATCAATTACAAAAAATCAAGGTGGATAAGTTATTGAAATTTTTATAATCTATTTTTTTTTAACTTAGGCTATAGCCCCCCAGCCTCCTTAAGTCCTCCGCCCTTGCCTGCAGACATGCATATATTCCTCGAGCATAATATGTAGCGTACTGTATCAATGCATGCACCAACCATTTTAATTCATTCAGAATCAGTGTTTCATTTCAGTAGACATTTATGCATAAAATTCCCAAGGCATGCAATAGCATGTACATTGAATCTGGCTTGACAGTAGTAAAAATCTAGTTTGCTAACTGCTTGCTTCAGAATGTTTGCGGACAACAGATACTTCTTGCAGTTAGAGTCAACAGCATGATGTTAATTTTTGTCTGTTAAACCCTCTTGTCTGAATTTTTCTATTGATAATTCACAAGAGATGTGTAAATTAAAAGGCAAAAATCGGGGAAGAAAATCTCTAGGCTTATGAAAAAGGAACTATTCCATTGTTTGCAATCGCTTTTCTGAAAACGATCAGCAGCTTCCCGATGTTGCGTTTAATTATTATTCTAAAGATATGGGAATTGGGTTCCAAGTTGCTGTGTGGCTATGCTACATTCAAAGATAAACACATATAGAGCATAATTAAGTTTCTCCATGCCTTGTTCTCCTGTGGCAAAGACAGTGGAACACTCAGTTTTGATCCAAATTCACGTATAGTGCTATTTTCACTGGTCAGTTAATTTGCTTCTATGACAACCCGGGACCAATCCAGGGCTGGCCCTGTCCGCTCCCAAAGTTTTTGAAAGTTCCAAAATCAACCTTGAATTTGTTGACTTTTTAAACTAATCTTACAAAATGATCCTCTCAAAATGAAAACTATTTATACCGATCCTCCTGATATCACAACTCTAGTTTAGTCCCTAATTAGGAAGCTAATGGGTACCTATAAGTCAGGTTTTTTTATATCTATATCTTACACATTACTTATAAGATAAGAAATTTAGTTGTTGTTATTCGGATTTTGAATATTTATATGATATCCATTATTTATAATTTAATAATATATATATATATATATGCGTGCGGGGTGAAAAATAAAATTTTATGTTTAAATACATTATTTTTACAAATAAAAAAAATGGTGTTTGTTTTATATTTTCACAACAATGCTTCGTCTCCAAAAACATGTAAAAAAATAATTAAATAAGATTTTTACAAATAAAAAAAATGGTGTTTGTTTTATATTTTCACAACAATGCTTCGTCTCGAAAAACATGTAAAAAAATAATTAAATAAGTTGGTTCAATCAATATTCATCGTCTTCAAATTAAATTATCATTCAATAAACTCAAGCAACTTCTTACCATCTTCTAAGTAGAACCTGATATCATTTGTTAAACATTATTTATTTAAGAATTCAATTACAACCAGCAAGCAATTGCATGAAAGCTCTACAAATAAACATGTTAGAGATCATGTTCCCTGGATTGAATTCGTTGTTGAGTTTCTAATATCTTAATGCTTCCACGTGTATATCCCTCAAGTTTCTCCTGTTTAACAGACAACTCAATAATAACAGATAATCTCATTGAAATAATTATCAATGGAATTCTGGCAAGGGAAATTTCCGTCATACCACACGCTTGGATCTCCTTTTTCATACAATCTCCTCCTATATATAATAGCTAAAGCCTCTACTTAGTCTCCACAGCCTCTAAAAGACCAAGCATCGATCTAAAAACATTAATTCAATCCCTCAAAATGGCTCAACTTCTTCTTCTTTGCCTTGTTTTAGCAGATGCTTTTGTAGGGCTCGCAATGGCCAGTGAAAAGGTTCAAGCCATGGTTCAGTCTAGCCCTGCATCATCCTCCTACCCACAAGCTCCCACTCAGAATGTATACGACGCTCAAGCTCCCAGTATTAGGAAACTTGGAAAACACCATCTCCATAAAATGGTCCCGTCCTTCGTGGCCCCAATTCATAGCCCATCTATAGCTCCTCACCAAGCTCAAGAAAACTTTCATTCTATAAGAGAAACCAGTTCTTTGAACCAAATCAAGTCGTCCTCTGAGCCCATCAGCACTGAAGAGAGCGCTAGCATCCATGTGGAAGATATTCACCTTCCAAACCATCATCATTCAGTGGATAAGTCAATAGCTGGGGGCGGTGTGATTCTTGGGGGTCTTGCCGCCGTATTTTTAGTGGCTGTTTTCTGTTACATTAGAGCTACTGGCAGACATAAAGCAGGAGCCGCTTCTTGAGTTGAGTTATCTAGAGTTGCTTGCAGGTATATGATAGGGGGAAAACATCTTCTGTTTCAACACTTTCAAGAAAATAAACACTAATATTCTGAAGGATATGGTTTGTAACAGTGAAAATGAACATATTTTTGTTTTAAATATACTTCATTTGAATCTCGGGTTGGAGTAATGAAAGATCTCCATGTTACCAGTGCCAGGCATTGTGGTTGTTGCTTGAAGTTAAATGTTTGTGCAGACCCTCGAATATATATATATATATATATATATTTGACAAGTATATATGAACTTTTCACTTATTTGTCAGTATGTATACTTTAATTTTTTTTATTTAAATTTATATAATTTATTTGAGTATTGGCACTTCTAGAAATTTATCGATTAACTTATTTTAAGTTTGAATTCAAATAAATATCTAATCCAGTGTCCTATTTGACTCAAGAAAGGAAACAGTGCAACCAATTAAATTAATTTCAACACATAACTTTAAATAACTTTTTTTTTCAATTCTACACAGTTACATTGAACTAAATCTATTTTTTATTAAACCAAATATGAATATAACTTGCTAAAAACCAACAACATATCAAAAATATACTACCAAAAAATTGATAAATATAAATGAAAATAACAAGAGAATATTTCTGTTTGTAAATTTCCAAGGAATTTTATCGATGAAAATATTCTCTCAATATATACCGAGAGAATTACAATAGAAAAAAATAAAACAAAGCAAATAAAATAATAATTTACCAACGGAATTACCTTTGATACATTTGTTGGTAAATTGTGAACACTGTTCAGTATGTCAATTACAAAAGAAATTACAAACAGAATTTTTCATCGGTATTTTCTAAAGAGCTCCAGAACTATTCACTTTTCAATTGCACTGTTAATTGTTGTTCTTTACAAAAAAAAAATCATCAACGAATTGAAAAGTTATCGGTATTATTTGGTGGTTTTTTAAAAAATTTAATTAATTTAAAATTTTCATTTAAATATTACAGACGGAATCACTGATGGATTGAAAAATCATCGGTAAGTGTTAGCAATTTCTGAAAACTTTTTACAAAATTAAAAATTTAAATTAAATATTACCAATGAAATTGATGGAATAATTAAAAAATATTAATATTTAATTATCCGTTAGTAAATCCGTCGCTAATGTGTTTCAATAAAAAGTCTGAATCCCCTTATTTCACAAAAGATAGACTCATTTCTTCTTCTTCTTCTTCTTCTTCTTTACTATATGTAAAAAACATGAATTTCTATTTCTTTCTCTTCTTTTCTCTCCTCGTCTTCTTTTCTTGTCCTTTATACTCGGGTATGTCTTCTTCTTCTTTTATCCTTTTAGTTCTTTTTTTAATTAATATACTTTACGAAATTTATTTTTCTTTCCTTAGCTTCACTTGCAAATATAATATTAAGGTAACTTTTTTTATTTTTCATCTTTTTTCATGGTTTTTTTTTCACTATATTTGTTTTTTTATTTTTAATTGTTTTTGTCCTTAATAATTCAATAAATGTTGTTGTGAGATTTTTTTTCCATATGAGATCAATTTTCAGTTAATTTATTTATAGTATTTTTAAATTTTTAGCAATTGTAACTTCATTTTTTTCATATGAATTTTTTTATTTGTTGCAAATTTATTTGAGTTGACCTTCTTCTTATTCTTTTTTTCCAAGCATTTTGAGTATATATTATAGAGTGTTGATTTATGTTAATTTAATTATTTTGTAATTTTATAAAATGAATTTTTTAAAAATGTTTTTATATAATTACCGACACACTTACTATTCCGTCGGTATATCCCTTGGTAAATCCGTTGATATTAAAAATTATTATTACCGACATGTCTGTTTCGTCAGTAAATCCGTCGGTAATAATATTGTTTTTATTACTAATGGATTTACTGATGAATAAAAAATTACTGATGAAAGATTCACCAACAAATTATTTCCTTCAATGATTTCATTGGTAAATCAATTACCGATGGAATATATGTCTTAAGCCGATGAAAAAATTTCATCAATAAAACTATTAAATCTTGTAGTGATAATTATAATTTTAATAACTCTAATCGTGCAATCAAAATAAAATCTAAATGACTAAACTAAACTTTCAAAATCATTGTTGATATCTAAACAATCAACTAACATGATAAATAATATCCGTAACAACTTCAAATATATATTCAAACCAACTTGAACTTGTTTATCAAAATCATGTATATCATTTTCAACAACTAAATCTGTTTTACTAAAACAATAAACATTGCATTTAAGACTCTTAGATAATCATCACAAACAAAAACTAAACATTCAAATTCAACAATGATTAAAATAAAGGTGTGCTAATTGAGCAACATCGTCTCATCAAAGTTCAAAGTATACCTTCTTGAATTGATTATGCTTTTTTGTTTGGAATTTCTAACCTTTTTTTAACTTTAGATCCTTGGTGTTATTAGCTCTTAAAATTTGATTTGTATCTTCTTCTTTCTTTTTCTTTCTATCCTTTTTTTGAACAATACTTTTCTGGTATCTTTCTCTCAATTATTTCAGATACACATTCCTTTTATAAGTAAAAAATAAACTAGGAGGTTACAAAACCATGGTGGATTTTGTTTTAGAATCTAGATGGTTCATATCTCTCTCTTTTATAACATATTCCTGAAACTTATAGTGTTTTCTTTTCTTTTTAAGTGAATCCTAACAAGAGAAAACATCTTTAAAAAGTAATTTTTATAGGTGTTTATCTTTTTAAGTGGGGTATTCTATCGAAACCATCATGAAATTTGGGATATCAACATGCCATCAATAGACTATCATGTAGAAGGGATGTAATTATATCATTGAAAATAAACCCCACTTGATTTTAAGCTCTATAAATCAATGTTCATTGATTGAAAGATTGGTTCCTGATCAACTTAGTTCTGTTAATGCATAGGAAATTGAAAGGGAACAAGATGTTTTTTATTTTTATCAAGCCAAATTGAGTATAAATGTTTGATGTAGATGCTTGAAATTTTTAGATGAAGTGTTTCTCAGTCTTTTGGTGCCAGTTATGTCCCTCGAGGTTCTTAGAGTTGACATATTCATTCATTTGAAAATAACTTCTTAATAAGTTAGCTTTTCGAGAGAAAAAAAAATAGTGATCGAACAATGCATCACCTAGTTTCTTCATTAAATTTTGAATGAAATGTCACCTGTTGCTAAACCTTAAAAATTAAAGTTTGTAATAAGGGTTTTAAAATTTTTTATTTTACCGTTATTTCAATTAACTTGAAAACTTCTTAATTTTTGTTTATGCATCCTTGAAAATATTAATCAAAATCCTTTAATTCACATGTCTTTTCCAACTTAGTCCTTGAGTTTTAGATTATGCAATTTAACCCTTATTTGACCATTAAACTTTTTATTTGTTTTGATTTGACCCCTGATTTAATTAATTACAATCCCTAAATATATGCGCCTATTACTCCTTGGTCCTTGGTACTAACGTTCTTCAATTGGATCCCTAACCAACCTTTAAACTTCAAATTTCTTTCAATTAAGCCCCAAATTGCAACAATTAGGCTTTTCAAAATTCAATTAGGTCCTTGATCTTTTAATAATTATAAATTGACCTGAATTAGGCATCTGAACTTGATTTTTCTTCAATTAGTTGTTGATTAAATCAATTAAACCCATTAAAAATTTAATTAAGTCCTTAAAATTAATTAATTCTTTCAATTTTGGCCAAATTGATTTGAAAACTTAATTTTACTTTAATCAAATCATTGATCGTTCAATGAAACCCATTTAAAGTTTAATTAAGTCTTAGACTTAATTAATTATTTCTTTTGTTGGCCAGATTGACTTGCAAATTTAATTGATTTAAGTCAATTAAATTCATTAGAAGTTTAATTAAGTCATTGAACCTAGTTAATTCTTATATTTCTAGTTAAGTAGACTTTCAAACTTAATTTTCTTTCAATAAAGTCTTTTGTCAGCCTATTAGGTCAATAGTAGTCCAATTGATTATCTTTTTGGTGTTTTGACTTGTTGCAGTGCGAAAACTCATCTATCTGTGTCCAAAAGATATTTTTGAATTTTAAATTTATGATTTTTTGGATTATTTAAATATAAATAAAATAGAAATATATAAAACATTTTTAAAGACCCAAAATTAGGTTATTACATTGAGTACAATAATTTTTTATTTTTTTCTAATCAAATGCTTCTCTTAAATTTTGTCATTTATTTGTTGATATTATCCTTAATTTGACACCTAACATGTTTAGATATATGATAGTATATGAACTTTTACTTTGGTTTTAATTGAGTATTTATATATTTATATATTTAATATTTAAATTTATACAATGTATTTAAATCTTGATACTTTTAAAATTTTATCAATTAAATGATTTTTTTTTAAAGCCAACAAGTGTTTGCTCTCCATTAAGCCATATTTGCTTGAATAAAAATAAAATGTATGATTTTTATAAAACTAGATATATATTATCACAAGAGACACCTTGGTGAACTTAGTTTAAAAAAAAATTGCACATAGAAAATTGCACCTAGTTTTAAGGACTATAAACCATAATTAATCTTTAAAGTTTTAGACAAGAGGTTGATAAAAAAATATCTTATATATCTTACTTAAGATAAGCTGCATTATACTTGTCATTTATGATTAAAAAACATGTTTTGCTCTTGTATATGTTTTCCTTAAAAAGTGGGTTTTTTCCGCTTGTAAAAGCATTAAATTCATGCTTTTAGGTACTTTTCAATGATTTTGATATATTAATGTAAAAAAAAAAAAACAATGATACATTTTCAATTAAAAAACATATTGCACCATATTACCAAACATACACGAGAACATAAATTTGGAACATGAGCCTAGCAATAAAGCTAAATTCTTATTTTTAAAATACAGACATTGGATCCTATAGGATGATGGTAAATAATAAATTGAGTTCCAAGCCTATTTTACTTGATTATGTCAAAAATGGATCTAAAGGCCTTCGCTCACACTTAATAAATCATGTTGACTTAGCCCTAGATCCATTTAATTATAGGGAGGAACATATCGTAAAACTTAAATATTCATAAAAAAATGACCAAATAACATTTACAAGAAAATGGTAAGAAAAAAGATCACACACACACACACACACATATATATATAATAGCTTTGTTGAATAATAAATTTGTATTTGAGATATTATTATAAAAGTACTTAATTTTTTTGATCTCATGAAAATGGTAAGAATAAGGAGTAAATCTTACAGATAAGAAGGTTGGAGGAGATTAAAATTGAAAAACATTCTAATTTCATAAATTATTTCAAATAAAATAAATAATAATCAAAATAATAAAGACCAAATCTAACTAATAAAAAATTTGAAAGAAGATAAAATTAAAAAAATATAATTTCATAAATTATTTCAAATAAAATAATAGTAATAAAAAGAATAGGGACCAAATCTAATAAATAAAAAATTTTATTTAAGAAAATAATAATAGAAAAGTAAATAATAACTAAAAGTTACTAAAAAGAATAGGGACCAAATCTAATAAATAAAAAATTTTATTTAAGAAAATAATAAGAGAAAAGTAAATAACAACTAAAAGAATGATGACCAAAGTTGATATAAAAATCAAATTAAATCAAACTCTAATGGATAAAATTAAAAAAAAAAGATTCATAACAAAATATATAGCAATCAAAAGACTAAGAACAAAATTTGATATAATTAACAAATAAAAAAATATTTTTTAATTCCTTACAACTTCTAGAAAGTGTTTTTTGCCTAAAATAAAAGGAAAACACTTTTCTGGAAATTACTCCAAAATTTCTTTTGACTGAAAAGTATTTTCTATTAGTAAAATTTTTTAATAGTAAATGAAACAAACATGCCTTTAATTATTAAAATGCCCTTATATAAAATATTACAAAGTTGCCAATCAATAAAAAACTTAAATGTTACAAATTTTCCATTGAATAAAAAATCTCTATTCATCTTTTTCCTTTAAACACCAAACCTAGTTGTCTTCTTCCCTTCCTTTTGATCCCATAATAGACACCATTGATTAGTACTTAAAGTGTATTTTTATTAAGGTTTTATATCATCATTTTACACTTGAAGTATTAATAACTCCTTAACTAGAGCATGTTTTATAATAACAAGTCTAATAATATAAGATACCTTTAATTTATGGTAAATATTCATTTTAAATGCAGGCCTATCACATAAATCAAAAGATTGATTGATGAGTTTAACTACTAAATTTAAAAGACAAAGAGAAGGCTAAGGTTAGAAAAAAGATGCTGGTTGAATTCAAATTGGAATACGATTCGGTTATTATATCATAACTAGAGTTGTAGAACTTAGATTTAGGTCTGGTTTATATGGATAGAAAGAAAGATAAGACATAGGTCTAAAATTTTCATGAGAGTCCAAGATTCAAAAGGATCATTTTCAAATTCAAATTATAGCAACAATAAAGAAGTCAGAATCTGTCCTACAACCCACATATTGTTCAGTGTTCAGCCCATATTTCAAGTTCTAGAAGTTTAAATGATCTCATTCTTGTTTTGTTGGAAAGCTCATACAATTTTCCAGACCTTTTATAAAGACTATTTGTTGAAATTTTGATGTTAGCAATGATGTTTTTGGCAAATAAGAAGATGATGATTGTTGAATGGATCCTTAATGGATACAATTGGATAATCAGTCACAAATGATTTGTACACATTCTTCAGACTGTCTCAAGATATCTTTTGTGATCCATCGTTATTCTACAACAGAAAGATTCATAAACTGGGGCCTCAGGTTTAAATTCAAACTTGATAGAATGCAGTCATTCTAAGGAGACAGAAAGTAGCATTTGGTCATTAAACAACATGATTAAATGAATTAGTTACCTCTTCCTTGAAATTCAAATCATAGGTCTTGTCATCGTTATTATAGAATTCTGAAGCAGCAACATCCATAATGATTTTAAGAGCAAAGAGCTTTAACATCATCAGAAGAGATAGCAGGAGGAGTAATTATTTTTTATTTGATTTGATTTTTATAAAAAAAAATAATTATATTAAATTTTTTTAATAAAAATCTAAAATTGATTCAAATCGATATGTTCGGTTAAGTTTTTTAGAATAAAACCTGATTTAAACCGGTTTAACTTGGTTTTTTGATTTTTCTGGTTTTGGCTCAATTTTTTTAGGTTTTTTTTCAATTTGGGTTCAGTTTGATCTTGTTTTTTCGATTTCAAACTTATAAAACCAAACCGGCTAGCTTTTTGAGTCAATTTCCTATAACTTTCATGTTTTAAAGCTAAGCTTATTATGTCAAGGTGAAAAGGTTACACTAATGGTGTAAGAATAAGTATAGTG